AATTGCACTCGAAATCATGTGATCACCTATACCTGTGATTACCTTATACCTGTCAGTCAGATACTACACATCAAGTTCACATGAATGAAGATCGATGTGGCCAATAATGAGGTTTGCAATGCATTATTGGGCGATTAAGATACTCGCGCTCGAAATTTACCTCTATCGCGTGGTACTTGTTCGTCAAAATTAATTTTGAGGTAATTGTGAAAGTTCAAACTTACCAAGATGACAGTCTATTTACTCGTTTCTGAATTTGTTTTCATTATGTCGGCAAACTGTCGGTGAACTGTCGGTGAGCTGTTGGCCTACAGATATTTTGGGGAGCTCTTCTTCAATTTTGTAGAACAGCTCGCCAAAATATCTGCCAACAATTGTGTAAAAATTTTAGGATAAGCGTGTAGTGCAAATTATTTTCTCACAAATTCTCTTATCGTCTTCATCCAAGGTCTTGATACCTTTTTCACAGTCGACCCCTTACTTAACGTCGGTATTATTTCATTTGCCCTGTTTCACCTTTTTTCGTCGTCCTTTCTTCGTGTTCAATAACCCTTATAGAGCGAGAAATGGTGGAAAAAAGAGAGACTGAGAAGAAGGCCATCCTACAACCTTTGGTGTGTTACCTGATATTTTTTTTAACTTATTCTGTAGAAATAGACACTTTCTGAATTTCTTTATGACCCCCTTCGATATTCAGTTTTTGAAGAATATGTTAAAGGACTGAAGTAAAGCGAGGCACTGTAGCCTGGCGGTATTTATGACCATTTAATAATAGATGCCCAGCTAAGTGACTTGAAAGGTACTATACGATTTATTTTATATACTTCGCGGCTCACATCCAAAAAACAACGGCACATGAGAGAGAAATGCGAAGATAGTTAACAGCAATTGCCTCTTCGTAAAATTAGAGGAAACCATACTATGGCGCTATAGCGCCGAAGCGGACAAAAATACTTGAGTATGGACAGGAGCCCATTAATGGATATATAAGACCTGTTCTGTAAAATATACGACTTGTCGCGAATTTATAAAACT